GAAGAGAGTGTCCAACCCCCAGGAGGTGGAGATACAGATGGCTGTGAATCGAACTTGGAGCTTCTGCAAGAGCAGAGAACGTGGGATGGAGAAGAGAAATTAAAGACACTTGCTGGACACCTTACTAAAATCGAAAAATAAAAGATGTTCAATAATAGAAAATTTATGCATTGTATCTGATTTGTTTGTTTGTTTGTTTTTCCAGATAGGGTTTCTTTGTAGCTTTGGGGCCTCTCCTGGAATTCATGCTGTAGACCAGGCTGGCCTCAAACTCACACAGATTCACCTGCCTCTGCCTCCTGAGTGCTGGGATGAAAGGTGTGTGCCACCACCGCCCTACTTTTATCTAATTTCTGTCAGCCTTCTGTTCTCATTTTTCCCTCCTTTGCCTCTTCCCTTTTCTTTTTTTGTGTGATTTTCCCCATCCATTTCCTTCTCTCTCTCTCTCTCTCTCTCTCTCTCTCTCTCTCTCTGTCTCTTTGTCTCTCTCTCTCTCTCTCACACACACACACACAGTCCAGGATGGCCTCAAACTAAATATATAGTCAAGGATGACCTTGAGCTTGTTCTAGTGCCCCATCTCCCAGGGGCTGGGGTTAGAGGTGTGTGCCCCTATGCCATCTTATGCAGTGCTGGTAATGAAACCCAAGGCCCCGTGTATGCTGGGAAAGCACCCTGACAACTGGGCTGTATTCTGGTGAAACTGTCTTCAAAAAATTGTTAGAAAAAGAAAGCAGATCTTGTTCTCAAAATTATGAGTTCACAGCAAAAATAGCTAAGCCCCCAGGTAAGAAGATAAACTGGATTCAGCTGACTCTAATTTTTTTCCTACTTACCCTTCCCTTAAATTCATCTCTTAGAACTTTTTATTACTATGAAGAGACACCATGACCATGGCAACTCTTATAAAGCAAAGTATTTCATTGGGTTTTCTCACTTACTGTTTCAGAAGTTCAGTCCTAACAGTGCTACTCCCTATGAGATTATGAGGGCCAATTACATTCAAACTACCATGGAAATGGACATTTCTCTCCTACCCACCTGTTCACAAGTACCTGTCAACCATTTTAGAAATTACCACACAGAGGCTTATATTAGTTATAAATGCTTGAATGATAGCTCAGACATATTACAAGCTAGCTCTTACATTTTAAGTTAACCCATATTCCTTATTTGTGCCCTGTCATGGCAGTACCCTTATTAGCATTTCACGTTCATCTTTGTTCCCCACTTGTGCAAAGGACTGTGATCTGTGAGTCTACCCCTAAATAAAGAACCCTTTATTATACTCAATTCTGAGCTAGTGTGGGACTACTTTATAGCATCCATCTACATGTGTGTGCTGTTCAAAAAGAACAAAAGTTCTTAGAGAAACCTTGAGTGGAAGTCAAGGCTGTTGCAGAGCATTTGTTTAACTATGTAAAGATGTGCTGTATTTGTTTAACTATGTAAAGATGTGTTGCATTTGTTTAACTATGTAAGGATATATTGCATTTGTTTAATTATGTAAAGATGTGTTGTTGTTTTACCTTGCCTGCCTAAGGTACCTAATTGGTCCAATAAACCTGAACAATAACAAGAAAGGAGGTATAAGCAGGAAGAATAAAGTAGGAGGAAGAATTTATGCTCAAGGAAGAAAGAAAAGGAGATGACAGAGGTCAGTGAGCCAGACACAGAGGAAACAGGAAAGTAGGACACACTGAATGAAAGAAAGGTAAAAAGCCCCAAGGCAAAACATAGATGAATAGAAACAGGTTAAGTTAAAAGAGCTAGTGGGACAAGTCTAAGCTAAGGCCAAACATTCATAATAAACAGTAAGTCTCTGTGTCTTTATTTGGGAGCTTTTTGGTGGCCCAAAGAAAATTCCAAGCTAGCCCATGGCTTCCCCAAGAGAACCCAGAGTTTCCTATTTTTCTTTACTACTACTACTCTCTGAGGAGAAACAGAGGTAACTATTAACCAAGGAAAGCAAAGATCCTCACAGATATTGAAGGTGTGCTTTTAAAAATCTTATCACATTTCTAAAAATCCCTCCCCAGGGTAAAGATAATGAAGCATCTTTCCTTTACTTTCCCCTCCTGTTCTTCCTCTTCCTTTGGAAATAGGATCTCACTATGTAGCTCTGGGTGGTCTAGAACTTACTATCCGGACCAGTTTGACCTCTTAATTCACTGAGATCTGCCTGCATCTGCTTCCCCATCTTGAGTGCTGGTATTAAAGGTGTATGCCACCAGGCCCAGCAAGACAAACCCCATACAGTTTTAATTAGGAAAAAGTTTGGGATATTAAACTTTCTGAAGGTGTACAGCACCCCATTCGTTTATTGGGACATGACTTTTGGGAACACACCAGGCTTCCTTCTTTTACAAGAGCAATAATCTTGAACATGACATATGGAAAACCTCCAATCATCTTTTCTGTTCCTATAAAACAGGCAAGAAGAGCTCTCCAGGGAGAGACTGAGAGCCTCCTTTCACAAGTACCAGGGAAACTCTGGGGGAAATCTTCAAAAGACAGTGTGAATAACACCAGTAACCCTATTGAGATAACAATAAACAAAACAGACAAGAGCCAAATACCAAACAATCTCCCCTGGGACAAAATATCCTGGGGAATCAACCTTATCGTACATGAATGCCTAGAAGGGGTTTATAATCTCTTGAAGCTGCCCTTGGTACATAGTTATAAGGGAGAAGCCAAATGGAAGAAGATGGAGATTTGTGCAAATTTTCAATGCTGCCCAATCCTTTGTAAGGCTATCTAAAATCTCTCTAAATTTATCCTATTTTTTCAGTAGTAGATCTTTGTGGTGCCTTTTGTGGTGTCAAACAGCCAATATTTCTTCATGTTCACTTGAGAAGTATAATATTCTTAAATGTGCACAATTTTAAGAAACATTTGCAAATGGTAACTAAAAATCCAATTATGGCTGGGTGTGGTGGCTCACGGCTGTAATTCTATCACTTGAGAGGTGGAAGCAGAGAGATTATCATTAGTTTGATGCCAATTTGATTTAACATCTTGGTGACTGTTAGGTCAGTCTTTTGGAATGCATTGTTAAGCTTAGCAGACCACTAGCTTCTACCAACCCTAAAGCTGAAATCACAGGATTTCTGAAACTGAAATTATTGACCCATTTTTGCTGTAATCTGCTAATCTGTGTTCCCAACTTATTTTGAAAGTGTTCTTATGTATGACTCTGCATGTGTGTGTGTCTGTGTGTGACTAAAAATTCAATTGATGGAAGAGATTTCTTCCACAGTAACATGTCATTCAGGGTAAACTCAGTGTTTCTGGGACAAAGTCACTTAAATTTGGCTCAGAATAATCTCTTATCTCTTTTTGAGCAGATGTTTTGTATCAACAATTTCTTGAAAAGTATGAAGTTAAAATAAATGTGGAGATAAAATAAATGTGGTACAAGCTTGTGATTTTAGCACTTGGGAGACAGAGGCAAGATATTCCAGAGTTCAAAGCCACTCTTGACTATATGACTTTAAGTCCAGCCTAAGATATATGAGTCCTTGTCTCAGGACAAACGGCACCACCACCTTAGTGGAATGTTATCCCTGAAACCTCTTATCTGAAGGTCTATATTTCTGTTTGAAAATTGAGACAAGGGTGGGATGTTCTAGTCCTACTGAAAGGATTTCAAACAGGAAAGCTTCAGGAAAGTTTGTTTTATCTTTAGTGAATCAGTTACAGCAGATTCACTACAGGATATTTCTCGATGCTGAGCAATAAAATAGGTTTGTCAAGCATGCCATCTGCCAGAAAGTTACATAGTTCCCCTTTGTTTGGTTACAGCTTTTTTTTTATTATTGTTTTTGTAGTGTTGTTGATCTAACTGATTAGACTTAGATCCTGCAAAGCCAGAGCTCTTCTGTTATAGAATATTATTTTAAGGTGTATTATTTTTGTTTATGCTCTGTTTGTTTATGCTCTGGAACATTTGCTTAATGATGCAAAGATGTGCTTGACTGAATAAAATTTACCTGTAGTTAGGAGGTCGAGTCAGCAACTAGCTGACAGAAAGTTATAGGGAGAAGCCAGGCAGAGACGGGATTTTTTTTTGTTTTTTCGAGACAGGGTTTTTCTGTATAAGGAGAAGAGTTTTTAAGGAGGGGTTGGGAGACAAGAACTTCTTGGGAGATGTGAGGAGGTGTTGAACTAGATGAGCAGCTTGCTATTCAGCTGCTCTGGGAAGCAGGATTCTACGCCAATCTTTGAAGTCTTGAGTTCTTTAGAAGGACGGATTTCGGTAAATTCCCTTTGTAGCTTTGGAAGAGTTGATAGCCGTGAAGTTGCAGTTGCTGACTACGATAGCCATAGCTCAAAAGGCAGCACCGATTAGAGAAGAGGACATCCTCTTCCACTCAGCTCCTGCCCAGCCCCAGGTATACTGAGCTTTAATTCTATGAGAGGCCACATTGCCATGATTATTTACATAGCATCTTATTTGGTTTTCAATGAAATAGTTATTGGCCTTTAACATCTTTAAAAAAAAAACCTGATTCATAGGAACTACTTGCTTATAGTGTAGACTTTTCAGTTTAAAACATTGTATTTACTCTTGATTCTGCCTCATGCCTTAGCTGCTTAACCTTTTCTTTCCAGTTCTGGAGGGACCAACACTACACTTTTCTCCACACGAACTCCCTACTGTGGCAGACTCCCCCAAATCACGAAACATTTTTGCATTTCAGACAGGGTCTTGTTATGCAGCCAAGGCTATCCCCACCCAGAATTAGCCTCAATTCTCCTGCCTCATCTTCTGAGTGTTGATTGTAGTAGGCATGAGCCACCACGCCGAGCTATGAACTTTTTGCACTCGTTTTGGCTGTCCTGGATCAGCTACAGTATGGAAATTATGTTGGTCCCTTTGTCCGGGACTTCGTCCACCTGAACAGTTCCTCACCAGGATAAAGTTGGAGTTTGGGAGGGTTAAACTGGTTTCCCGCCATCACTTCCTCTGCGGATGTGGAACTTCCGGTCTCTAAACGCTTCCGCCCAGAGCCGGAAACTTCGTGGCCGAGGTACCGGGAGGGGCGCGCGGTGTAGATCCACGGACTGAGGGCAGGTGAGTTTTTTAAGGTCGTGGAGCTGAGGTGGCGAGCTGCCAATGTGACCGCCGTTTCACCTAAGGTGGCTCAGCATTCCTTCCGCTCCGAGACTTGTCTCGGGTCGGCGGGACCGCGTTCTGGGCTGAGCCGGCGGAAGGCTAGTGCGCCTGCGCCAAGCGCTTCTCTCTTTGTCATGTCACAGTCTTCTGGGTGCTGGGCTGAGGTGGTGCCGCCGGGCACCCGACGCCCTGACTGGCTGCCACAGTGCAGGAGACTGGCTTCCGTTACTGACGGTTCTGGATGACTGCGGGTTTTGTGGGGGGGGTGCGGGGCAGTGGGCCGTATTCAGATCACCCCCCCCCCCCAGACGGTTTCTCTGTAGCTTTGGAACTTGTCCTGGAACTCGCGCTATAGACCAGGCTGGTTTCGAACTCACAGAGATCCGTCTGCCTCTGCCTCCCGAGTGCTGGAATTAAATGCGTGCGCCACTCCCCCCCCCCCTTTTTTTGAGAGATGGTCTCATTCTGTAGCCTTAGGCCGCCTTGAGCCTCACTGTGTATCTGAGGCTGGCTTCGAACTAGCGCCAGGCCCTCGTGCTTTTAGCCTTCCTATTTCAGGGATTACATGGACGAGCCTCCATGCTCGCAATGAATGAATTAACGAAGTTTTAAAACAAGGGTTCATTGCTGGACGTGGAGCTCACATTTTAGCCCACGACGACTTTGAACTCGTGGCAAACCCCCAGCCTCAGCCTCCCGAGAGTACCGAGATAATGTGTGCGAGCCTCAGCACCCTGGGAATAAAATGTTTACAAAGACTGTGTTACCGTCTGGGGACTTTGATATGAATTGTTGAATCGAAATTAGCTTGTGATATAGCCATCCCCAAAGAAATAGGCTTGTTGAAGCAAAAGGGTTTACAGATGCTAAAGACAGAGCAGATAAAGGGAGACGCTGCTTTCACCTGGTGTGACCGTTGGCCAAGTCCACTGCCCGCAGATATTGCCTACTCTCTTTTTATGTCTTCTTAGTTTTAATTTTCTATGTGCGACTGTTATGGGTGTTGTTCTAAACACAGTATACTACCTGGAAATTTTGTTTGTTTTGGTTTGATTTTTGAGATGGGATCTGTCTTGAAGCTCAGTGTAGAACCAGGCTGACCTGGACCTCACAGAGATCCTCCTATCGCTGCCTCCAGGGTGCTGGGATTAAAGATGTGGTCCATCACACCTCAATGCCAACAGTTTTATAAAACATATTTTATTGGGGTCTATAAAAATATTTAGAAAGTTAGATTACTGATAAAAATTTGCCCTAATGAGAAGAACGTTCTTCACAGTGGCCCTCAAGTCCCAGGAGGCAGTCAAGGCAGGGCGTTTCCTCTGTATTTATTGGATGCTGTAGGATTTCCTGTCTCCATCTCATCTAGAAATGAGATCCATTTTCAGTGCATCATTGAGAATGTGTTGTTTTGTCGTTGTTGCTGCATGAGGAGAACTTTTTATTTGTTCATAATTGGTGCATAATGCAGAAGAATTTGTTTCTCTGGAAGTCGGCTTCTTTTGATGAAGGAGAAACCTGCTCTGACTTTGGTTACTTGCTTCTGGGAAAGGAGACCATAGAAAGCAACTTGGTGCTGGAACTAGTACACTTTCCTCTCCTCCTCCTCTTCATTTTCTTCTTCCTCTCTCTCTCTCTCTCTCTCTTTTATTTTTTTTTTTTTCTATTCTGGGGCCTCCCTTACATTAGGCTAGTATTCTACCCCTGAGCTACACCCAGCCCTGGTAGGGTCTTGTCTGTGCTGGCCTTGAGTGTTTGATTTTTCTACCTCAGGCTCCAGAGCTGGTGACATTACAGGCTTGTAAGTCTGCCAGGACTTTGCCTTGTTTATTGTATTTACAGTAATTGTGGGCCGAGACTTTTGTCTGACCTTTGCAGTCATTCTGACTCAACATTTCTGTACGTTCATATTAGCAAATGCTCTGATGGTCCAGATCTTCAAACCCTTTCTTAGAACATTTCCTGTTGAAAACTGCAGCATCTCACAGGATTACTGCTCTCCAACTACTAATCACAGTTTTTCCTTCTAGTCAGTTTGCATCACAGAAACTAGAGGAATCTTTTTAGGAAAGTAAGATAATCTCTTTCCTTAAAAAAAAAAAAAAAATCTACTAAACACTGCTGTTTCACTCTGCAGACAAATCTTTTAAGTGATCCTCCAGAGTCCTAAGTGAGCTGGCCTTGTGTTATCTCTGATGTGTTGTTTAATAACTACCTCATTGCTCATTATCTGACCTCAAATACATCCTAGTTTCTAGGATACTTGGGTTTGTTGTTCTTTGTCAGTGTGGTCTTCTGTATGGTCACGTGGTACACCTGTGTTTTGGAATACTGTCTTCCTTAGCCAGCTTTCTCCATCTTAGACCGAGCCACTGTGCTTCTTTTTTGTTGTTTTTTGTTATTGTTGTTTTTTGACACAGAGTTTCTCTGTAGCTTTGAAGCCTGGCCTGGAGCTCACTCTGTAGACCAGACTGGCCTCAAACTCATAGAAATCCACCTGCCTCAGCCTCCTGAGCGCTGGAATCAAAGATGTGTGCCTCCCCCACCTGGCTGCCACTGTGTTTCTTGTCCTTGTGTTTATCACTATATTCATACGGAGTGATTTACCCAGTTGTCTGGTTTATTGTGTTTCTCACAAGAATACAAGTTTCTGGAGGGCAGGTACTTTTCTCTTGTGCACTTAGTACCTAGAACAGTAGCTGGCTTTTAATAGGTACTCTCAATTGTTTAATGAAGTTATTTGGGCATATCTACCATACAATATTTGCTTATATGGTCTGCCAGAGAGCTACTTTGTACTTGATCTGTGTGAGTATATGCGTGTTTGTGCACTCGGGGTGGGGCATATTGTGGTGCAGATACACGTACACATGAGTGCATGTGGAGGCGTGAAGTTGACATTGGGTGTATTCCTTGATCTCTCTATATTTTATTTATTGAGACAGTATCCCTTGCTGAACCTGGAGCTCACAAATTCCTGTTATTGTAACTAGCTAGCTTGCTCTAAGGATCTGGTCTCTCCCTCCCAAAGTGCTGAGATTACAGGTATCAGCCACACATGCCCGGCTCTTCTGTGGGTTCTGGGAATCCAAGATCTTGTGCTCCTGCTTACATAGCAAGTACTTCATCCATCGAGTCACCTCTCAGCCCAGCACTTTGGGGCCTTTTTGTTTGTTTTCTCTTTTCACTTTTCCCCAGCTACTTGTTTAGAAAAATACCATTTTATATTTCTTACTGTGATTAACTTTTAATTTTACTGTACATTCTTTATTCAAATCTAATTTTTTACCCAGTGAACTCTTTTTTAAACCTTTAGGTTGCTGATTTTCAGCAAGCTTCTTGATCATCTCAGCCTTTAATTATTTTTTTATGATACATATGCCTTTGTTTTTCTTTTGTCTATTTTTTTTTCATTTTTGGTTTTTTGAGATAGAGGTTTCTCTGTGTAACAACTGTGCCTGTCCTGGAACTCCTTTTGTAGACCAGGCTGCCCTCAACTCACAGAAATCTGCTTGCTTCTTCCTCCCAAGTGCTGATATTAAAGGCTTGTATCTTTAGTAAGACTGGAGAATGTCTTAACAATAGAGTTAGTAGTTCAAACTATTTTCTGGTGTGTGTATGTGTGTTTTAAAATTTATTAAATTAATAAAATTATTAAAGTTTTATTATGCATTTTAATAGAATATATATTTAAATTTAGCCCAAGGCTCATTTGGCATTTTGCTGAGAATATGTGTAGGAGGTACAGTTAGAAACCTGATAGATGAGGAGGAGCTGGGGAAATGACCCAGAGGTTAAGAGCACTGACTGTACTTCACAGGTCCTGAGTTCAGTTCCCACCAACCACATGCATGGTAGCTTGCAACCACCTGTAATAAGTTCTGGTGCCCTCTTCTGGCCTGCAGGGACACATGCAGGTGGAACACTGTGTACCTAATAATAAAATAAATGTTAAACAAAAAAAGAAACACGATAAACATATTAAATATGAAATGAATATTATTTAGGAAGTAGGTACTGTGAGAAAATGAAAATATCATAGTTTGGCATTTTATTTATCTTTTTAGACATGATCTGTTGTAGCCCAGGCTAACTTCAAAGTCTTAGAGTTGAGGTAGGCCTTGAATTCCTGATCCTCTGCCTCCACTTTTGAGACCTGAGATTATGAGAGTATACCACCACACTTGATTTATGCAGTGCTAAGGATTAAGCCTCAGGGCTTCAAGCATGCTAGGCAAGCAGTCTTACCAACTGAGCTATGTCCCCAGCTCACTTCTTTTTAATTTAAAAAATATTTTATTTCATATATTTGTATATATGGGAGTGAGGAATGGGCATTCCAAGGAATATATGTGAAGGTCAGAGGACACCTTGCAGGGCAGGAGTAGTAGTCTCTACTATGTGGGTCCTGGGGATTGAATTTAGACTTGATATTAAGTGCCTTTATTTGTTGAGCCTTCTCACTGACCCTGAAATTACTTTGTTGTTGTTGTTTGAGACAAGGTTTTTCTGTATGGCCCTGGCTGTCCTGGAACTCACTCTGTAGACCAAGCAGACTGTGAACTCACAGAAATCCCACCTGCCTCTGCCTTCTGAGTGCTGGAATTAAGTGTGTGTGCCACCACTGCCCAGCTGAAGTTGCAAGATAAATTGCAAGATACATATTGCAGAAAATTTGCCATCTTAGCAATTTTTAAGTGTATAAAGTTAGTAGTGTAAAGTCATTAGCAATGTAACCAACACTTCTGTCCAAATCCAGAGCTCTCCACCTGCAAAACTGAAACTGTTATTTTTAGATAACTGTTTTCAGTTCCCTTCTGGAAGATCATGGTATCCACTATTATATTTTTGTCCTCATCCGGGAAAAATTTTTAAAACAATTTTTTTGAGACAGGTTCTTGATATGCTTGGGATTTGCAATGTAAACCAGGCCGACCTCAAACTCCCATAGATCTGCTCTAGGGTATAGGATTAGAGAGGCATTCACTACCACACCCAGCTGTCTTTTTGAGTTTGACAAGCCTAGATACTGTGTAGAAGGATCACTTGGTGTCTGTCCTTAAGGCTGAATAATACATTTTGGTGTATTGTAACAGGTCCCTTAGCACAGCCAACTCCATGGTGAAAGTGCCATTCAGGCTGTAAACCTCAGCAGGTAGACAGCACCACCTGCCAAAACTAAAAACAAAGGCCTAATCCATCAGTCCATAGTTCTGGGAAAGTGTCTAAATGTACTAACCTAGCTTTTTAGCTTCTGTAGTTCCACTTCTAGCTAACTGTTCTCGTTAACTGAAGTATGTTAATCCAGAACATGGTTTTTGTGCTTAAGAGCGCATCCTCAGACACCCAGTGTCTGACTGGCTAATAAAGACTTTCTATTGACTTAAACCCATGTCCGAACAGTCCTCTGGTGAATACCCCACAACAATATTTATCGTATTCTTTATTTTGATGAAAACTAGATTTCTTTCCCCATCTTTTGGCTAATTAGTGAATAATGCAATTATAAACATTTGTATAGATGGTTCTTGACTCCATGCTTTCGATTCTTTGCAAATGGCTTTGAGGAACTGTAGTCTCTTCATCAAGAGCAATAGGAGACAACTAAGTGTGGTGGAACCTAGTGGAAGAGTTGTGAGTTCAAGGCCAACTTGGGCAGTGCGCTGAACGCTCATTTGGAAAGCAAACAAGGGGGCTTAGGTGTGCTCGCCTAACTTGCACAAAGCCCTGGGTTCTACCTCTGCCACTAAATCTACAGGAGTCTGGTTCCAGCTGGGAAGGTGATAGCAGGAAGATCAGAAGTTCAAGGTCATCCTCAGCTACCAAATGTGTTCAAGGCCAGCCGGAGTTGTCTTTGAGACACCCGGTTTCAAACAAATAAACAAACAGGGAAAAAAAAAACAGATCTGGTGGTGGTGGCAGCAGGGCCTGACTTTAGTTCCACCATTTGGCAGGCAGATCTGTGAGTTCCAGACCAGTCTGGTCTATAGAGCTAGTTCCAGGACAGCCAAGACACAGAGAAGCCCTGTCTGGGAGGAGAGGTGGGGGTGGGAAAGACCACACAAAACAAAACAAAAAGTTAATTAAAACAGGAAGTCCAAAGGAAAGGAGAGCAAGCTATGGAAGACTAGAGAAAAGTAAATTGAAGAATAGATGCTCATTTTTTATTCTAACTGGATATATAAAATACATGTTTTACAGAGCTCGCTCAGTGGTAGAGCCCTTGCTTAGCATGCCTCACATCCTGAATTTGATCCACCATAAACAAAACAAAAAACATAGACTGCTAAAAGTTTGTGGATGCTCTGTGAAGGCAAGGTTGTTTAGGATACAAGGGCTCATATTCCTGATAGGACTATATATATTGGAACGACCATTATGAAAGGACATTTGATATTAGCTATCAGATTTTTAAATGGATATTCCCTTTGGTTCAGCAGTCCCAGACTGATGGCAGGACTCTGAGTTTCTGGCAAGATAACTCCTCACTCTCCAGCTTGTGGAATTTTAGGAATGAGGTTCTACTGGCACCTTACTCAGGGACTAGAACTTTGCCTCAGGGCTCTGCCTTGGCCTATCTGTGTACAAGTTGCTCAGGCTGGTTCCTAGTAACTGCTCAGTCTCCTCAAATTGTCTATGCTGCTTTTACTTACCATGTGTTGGGCTCTGTGATGACTTTTGCTTTTCATTGCTGAAGATTCCATTGTAGTACAGGGACTTGTACGTTTGTCTTAGAAGTTGCAGTGCCTTAGAGTACCACCGTCTACCCAAGGCAAAAATCAACCAAGAATCCTAGTTTTCATTTCTGTCTAGTTATTTTCCCAAATGTTGATTCTAAAATAAATGAAATCCACAACCTTCTGGTCACTGTCCCTCTTTTATTCTATGTATTGCCTGGCTTGCTACTATTATATCTAAAGCATTGCTTTTGAAACTCTAAATATTTCAGTGTTTATTTCCAAAAAGATCAAAATTTGAAAGAAGTTATAACCAAGCTGGGCATAACGTATGTTTCTAATTTCAACACTTTGGGAGCTAGGGCAGGAGGATCAGGAGTTCAAGACTAGCGTATACTGTATGGGAGATCCTGTCTCCAGAATAAGCTGGGCATAGTACCATGTCTGTAATGCTAGCACTTGAGAGGTGGAGGCAGGAGAATCAGGAGTTTAAGGCCTATTCCTAACTATATAGTGAGTTTGAGACTAGCCTGGGCTACATGATCCTGCCTTAACAAAAAAGCAAACTAAGGGATAGTATCCATAATATTATCACACCTAAAATTTGAATACAGTTTTTTGTTATTTTCCTCAGATAGGGTCTCATATATATCAGGTTGGCCTCTGACTGCTAGGATTAAACGCATGAACCACTCTACTTTGTGAATGCTAGGCATGCCTGTTACCAACTCCAGCCTAGCCATTGTTCTTTAATGTCGTGTGTGTGTGTGTGTGTGTGTGTGTGCGCGCGCGCGTGTACACATTCAAGTGTGTACCCCTGGAGGCTAGAGGTCTGTTTGGTGTCTGTCTTATTCCATCACTCTCCACCTTGCCTTTTGAGACAGGGTTGAAACATGGAGCTCACCAATTGTCAAAACTAGCTAACCAGCAAGCCTCAAGAATTCTCTTGTCTCCTCTTCCCAGCTTTGGAATTATAGTGTACACTGTCATACTTGACTTTTTCTGGGGATCTAAACTCAGATCTTCGAGTGTTTGTAGCAGTTGTATTACATAGTAAACCATTTCTTCAATTCCCAAGGGGGAAATTGTAAGGAAACTTTGGCTGGGTGTGGTGGGCTTACATCTGTTATCCCAGCACATGAGCAATTGAGGCAGGAGGATTCGCTGTAAGTTTAAGCTCTTGAGGCCAGTGTAGGCCACAATTTCTGCTTATTAAGCTCTTGTCAGTTTGTCATGTTTTCCTCCCTAGATCTCGTATTTTGGATTCCTGCTGTCCTATAATGAGTGACATTGTGCCGTTAGACGTCATTGGTAGAAGAGTTGAAGTTAATGGGGAATTTGCAACCGTGCGCTTTTGTGGTACTGTTCCTCCTGTGGCAGGTAAGCTATAGCAATATGCACATCTTTCCGTCAGTCTATAGAAACCTCTCAGTAGTGCTTTATCACACCAGTTTTGAACTGGGTGTGGGGGCACTCTCAGTCAGAGGCAAGTTCCAGGCCAGCCTGTTCTACAAGGCAAATTCCAAGCCATCTGGAGCTTATCTCTAATAAACTGGAGTTTATCTCCAATAAACAAACAGACAAATAAATAAATAAAACAAGTTTTGAGGAATATACCAGCCAACTTGCAGACACATTATTTTATTTGACTAATATTGCATTATATATGTTTTTAATATGTACAGTTTTCTTAATTATATGCTACTTGATTATGCAGTGTTTCTTATACTAAATCAACTTTGAAATAGTTTCTAAACAAACTTCAACCAACAGTCTTGAATTTTCATAGTTCTCAGCTCAAAAATAATTTTTTGATGTTCTTTACCATTAATCTATACACACATACATTTAATACACTATGTATATACATAAAACCGATTTTTGTGTATAATTCAAAGAATTTATTACCTGAAAGCAATTGTTTTTCATGTAAACTGGTAATCTTTATCTTAATCTGTCCCTCGTATTGTGCAAGTACTTAAGTTTTAGGAATGATGATATTCTTGAATGTTTGTTTTGCAGTCAAAGACATTTGAATGCTTTTCCTCCCCGTTTGTTTATATTTGTGTATATGCCTATGCTATATAACTGTGGACAATGTATTGCATTCTGGCCAAATAGAACTTTGTGTACTGCTCATTTTTGTTGATTTACACATACATACATATATATTGTATAAATATACTTATTCTATAAACTATTGAATAGTAAGTTAATGGCATGTATATCAAGATGGTAGATTGTACATATCTAATATTGCAGTCTCATAAATCTCACCTAAATTGAGTTTTTTTTTAAACTAAGGCTTATCCTATACCTCTGAAGAAGACAGGAAAAAATACAATTAAATTTATAAATACTGGAAAGAACTAGGTTTAAGTAGCAACAAGATAAGCATAATTGAAAACATCTAACTTCCGAATGCATAGTGGGGAAAACTAGGAACTAACCTAATTCTAACTCCTCAAATCTCAAAAGATCTCAGGAATTTGTGGAATCTATACTTTATAGCCAGATACAGTGACTCATGGTTATAGTCCAAGTTCTTAGAAGGCTAAAGCAAGAGAATTGCTAAGTTTTTGTTGTTTTGATTTGGTTTGGTTTGGTTTTTCGAGATAGGGTATCTCTGTGTAGCTTTTGTGCCTGTCCTGGTCCAGCTTTGTGGACCTGGCTGGCCTTGAACTCACAGAGATCCACCTGTCTACCTCCCGAGTGCTGGGATTAAAGGTGTGCGCCACCACGCCTGGTGAGAATTGCTAAATTTTAAGGCAAATGCAGGCTACCAAGTGAGTTCTATCTAGTCCAGCCTGGACTGCAGTATGAGATCCTGTCTCCAAAATAAATGGGGGAAGGAGGAGATTTTTGGTAATGGATTTAAAGTAAGATTGTTCCCTCTTCATGTGAGAAACATGGTAAGGAAGTATTAGTTACTATTAACCAGAATGGGCATGCATAGGCATTGAGTCTTCTTGTTCTTTGATCTCATCTTCCCAGCTTCTGTAGCTACTCAATAGCTTCTTTGATGAAGCCACTGGTCTCCAAGGTAGTAAGAATGTGTCCAGTATGAAACTGGATCCCTTCGGAAATGGTGGTGAAATCAGCAGTCCTTTTCATTCTTAGAAGCCTTCAAAGACAGGCAGAGCCTCTCTTTGAAGGGACCACTCTTTCTTTCTGAAGCCCTTCACCATTCCTCAGACATCAGTATAGCATGCTCAGATACACATAGAACTTTTTGTTACCTTTCTTCATTTACTTACTATGTTTCTGTAGCATTACTTTATTACTTTTTTAAAATGTAGACTTGGCTGGCCTGGAACACGGTATATAGACCAGGCTGGTTTCACACTCACAGACATCTACCTGTTTCTGCCTCCTGAGTGCTGGGGTTAAATGAGTGCTCCACCGTGTTTGGCCTATAACATTATTTTACTGGGTTTTCCTTCTTCGACCTTTGTTAATAGTTTATACTAGTAATATATGCTAATGAATTCATTGTGGTATCTTCACACATCTACCAGCCCCACCTCGCCATCGTCTGTGCTGCTCCTCCTTTCTCCATGTCCTTGTCCCCTTCCTTCTCTCTACTAATACTAATACTTTCTTAATAGGTGACCGTTTACAGTACTATGTCATTTATGTAATCTTTCTCTATTTCTGCTCTTCTCCTTTTTTAAATATTTATTCATTTATTATGCATACAATATCTGCCTACATGTCTGCCTGCAGGCCAGAGAGGGGACCAGATCTCATTACAGGTGGTTGTGAGCCACCATATGGTTGCTGGGAATTGAACTCAGGACCTTTGGAAGAACAGGCAATGCCCTTAACCACTGAGCCATCTCTCCAGCCCCCTCTACTCCTTTTTTATTTTTAGTGGGATGGGGTCTTGCTATGTTATTTAGGCTGGCTTTGAACTCTTGGACTCGGGACTCAGGGGATTCTCCTATCTCAGCCTAACAAGTGCCTGTCACTGTGCCCAGCTCCTTATTCCGAACATTGATTTCTAATTTTTTTCTTTGATATGATATCACTGTAGTAAACTGCCTCATGCTTCACTCAATCAACAAATATCTGAATATTTTATATATATCTGGGACTAGTCTGAGTAGATACAGGGCAATTTAGTGGTGAACTTGGATCTGAGGCTTTCAGTGTATGGCTTCAGAGCTGCAACAACATCATTTGAATACGTGTTAAAATGCAGATTCCTGGGCCTCCCCTATATCTACTGACTGACACTGTGAGACTGGGGCCCAGCAATTTGTGCGTTAGGAAACTTAATTAGGAAGTACTTAGGTGTAGCTCAGTGATAGAACACTTGCTCCAGAATGCATAAGGCCCTGAATTCCAGTCCTACCATTCCTTTCCAGAGTGAGACCCATTAAACTAGACAGATGTCACTTGCCAGTATGGAAGTAACCATGGAAGTCTTTAAACATGTATATGAGAATATTTTCCCCCTAATTTGACTGGTACTTTAATTGTTTTTAAAAGATTTCTTGCCAATCAGTGGTTGCTCACTCCTTTAATCCCAGTGCTCAGGGAGGCAGAGACAGGCAGATCTCTGTGAGGCCAGCCTGGACAACAGAGTGACTTCTAGGACAGCCATAGCTATTACACAGAGAAACCCTGTCTTGAAAAACAAAACAAAATTCTTTTTTTTTTTTTTTTTTGGTTTGGTTTAGTTTGGGCCCCTGCTTCCCCCCCGCCCCCGGTGTAGCCTTGGCTGTCCTGGAACTCATTCTGTAGACCAGGCTGGTCTTGAACTCACAGAGATCCACCTGCCTTTGCCTCCCTAATGCTGGAATTAAAAGCATGTACTACCACCACCCAGCTAAAATGGTTTATTTCTTTTAATTATGTGTATGTGTGTTTGAGTGTGGATGGATATATGCACATGAGTGCAGGTGCTCGTAGAGGCCAGAAGAAGATGCCTGATCTTCTGGAGTTTGAGCTACTGGCTTTTGAAAGCCTCCTGGTGCGGGTGTGGAACTGTACTCAGGTGCTCCAGAAGAGCTCTGTGCTCTTAGTGAGCTGTCTTTTCAGCACTTGACTAGAATTATTTGTGAGAAAATGACATTTAAAAAATAGTGACTGTGTGTCAAGTACTTAGATATATGTCAGTTTGTTCCATGTTTATAGAAGGGAAACCAAGTATTAAGTCTTTTTTGTTTGTTTTTGTTTTGTTCTGTTTTTTGTTTGTTTTTCTTTTTTCTTTTCTTACTTTCTTTTTTTTTCTTTTTCTTTCCCAAGATAGGGTTTCTCTTTGTAGCTCTGGCCATCCTGGACCTTGATCTTTAGTCCAGGCTGGCCTCGAACTCAGTGATCCACCAGCTTCTGCTTTCTAAGTACTGGGATTAAAGGCCTGTGCCACTATCACCTGGCTCAAATATTAAGTCTTTTTTAAAAAAATAATTTTTATTTAAATGCATTTTATGTGCATTGGTATGAAGGTATCAGGTCCCTCGGAACTGGACAGTTGTAAACTGCTGTGTGGGTGCTAGAAATTGAGCCTGGATCCTCTGGAAGAGCAGCCAGTGTTCTTAACTGCTGAGCCATCTCTCCAGTCCCTCAAGTGTTAAGTCTTAAAGCTTCCACAGAGCAGAAATGGACTTAGAGAAGATTGTTGAACACCATGTGGGTGCTGGAAATTAAATCTGTGTCCTCTTACCAGTCCCTCTTCTTTCCTGTTCCACCCCCTCCGCTCCTCTCCTTCGATTTTTCTCCAAACAGAGTTTCATTATGTAGCCTTGGCTGTCAGTAGCTCAGGCTGACTTCGAACTCACAGAGATCTGCCTGCTTCTGCCTTCTGAGTTCTGAGATTAATGGCATACTCTGCCACTGCCACCACCACATAGCTTACTGTAGATCTTTGAAAGACACAAGTGACAGACTACAAAAGCACCGAGGCACTGGGGCATTCTCGACATGAAACCAGCCTCCTTCATAGTTTCAGAGAACCTGAGTTTTGTTTAGGCTAACCTTGAAATAGCAGAATTCCAGCCCTTAGAGTAGTAAAACTGTTTTGACTGAAATGTTGGCCATATTTGGAGGCTCTGAGGAGGTGCCATCTCTGGAGGAAAATGTAGAGATAATTGAAAATGACTCAGGTCAATGATAGTGCTTAGTGAAACTTGATAGAATCTCTGAGTTTCTTGGTTTAAAGCCATCTAACTATACTTATTATATAATACAATATAATAACTATATAATAGTTAGATGTCTTTAAAAATAAAGTGAGTTATCTCAGGACTTGGTCTGTGCAAGGAAGCCAAAGAGCAGAAGCAGCAATGAAACTGATAATGCTAGCAGTATGTCCTTGGGTAGAGTGGGTAAAGGAAGAGGTCCCTGGCACTTGAATGTCTGCAGTGTCCAGTGGC